GCATTTGAAAAGTATTTAATCAGCCTCTCTGCTAAATATTCAGCGTTACAGAAAATGACTACTCGGTTATGGTGGAAGAAAATGATAAAACAAAGGACTTCTTTTCGGATTTTCAGCCATTGACTGCTCGTTACTAGAGAAACGGATGATAGAGGATTCTCAACTCTCTCATTTTAAGTTTGTTTGTCACAATATAAAGGAAACAGACTTCTGATATAGAAATTAATTGAAAATTTTTAATAGGAGCCCTCAGACTGCATTTGGAATTTTTTGACCAATCATAAGCGAATAGCCTGTAATATCGGCTACAAAGCGAAAAAATTGGGCTGACATCAGTGACTAGAATTTGTAAATCATATATTGCAGAGACGCAGCAATGAAACAAAATATTTTTTTACCAATCGATACCTTATGGAATTATCTTGCTCTAAAAAGCAATCCATCGTTTATCACATGCTTTATTATCTTTTTATAACATTTCTACGATTGGGTTATAAATGACCCCTTGGTAGATAAAGGGTTAAGACAATTTTTTTCCCAAGTTGATCAATATAACGGGTGATAAGCGTATGATCACGAATCACTTACACTTTCAGTCAGTTTCCTGTTCCAGTTCGAGAAACAATTCTATCCTACAGTCGACTCCACACATAAACCATTAAAAATACAGCTCTCGCTTGACTTTGTTTCGAAGCAGATACTTGAGACTAGAGTTGAGAATAGGGTCTAACTCATTTGACCCAAACCTGACTCGAAATGTTTTTCGTTGATCCGAAAGGAAAAAAATTTTCGTGTCTTAAAAATGGAAGTGTAAATCGAAAATTTTTTCCGGTAGTCCGAACAGGATCCAAAATGTTTTTTTTATTTGATTTGAACCTGATCCGTTTCGGTCTCTGCTATCTATCCAAATAAAATAACAAAAATTTTGTCTTTTTTGAAATTTCTACACTACGAATTGCTTCTTCAAAGATCTTTTTAAACGTCTATTATAAAAAATTCTCAAACTTGTTGTTTTACAGTATATATTTATATTCACCGCAGATCATTTATTGAAAAGTTATTCAAATATTTATTCTTCTCTAAAATTTATAGGAGGAGAGTGACCACTTTAAATCATCACTCTCAGTCTAGTTAATAAGTAATTATTGTAATCATTTACATCTAACGCCTTTTGATCACCATGCTTTTGTCGATATTCAATTTTTAATTTCTGAAAAAACACACAAAAAAAGACTTTACTATCTAAAAATATGATTTCACTAAGCATCTTACTTCAAGATTTGAACATAATCGAAGAAAATCGTCAAATGTAATCGCATCATGATCAGCGTACAACACGAGAATTTTTTCACACACTTTATCCGAGACATTATAACCTTGAATAGACAAGCAAATCATCTGGCATGTAGACAAAGTCAAATAATATAATTTAGTAAAATTTTTTACATGATCAGAACTGATAGTTTCATTTCTCCGCGGCAAATAAAAAATTCTATATTCCATAACTCTCGCCTAATTCTTTAATTGCTGTATGAAGTTCATCTTTATCAAATGTTCCATTATTGTCTCGATCATGGTTTCTAAACAATTCTTCCCAGCGATCTAAATGAGATCATTGTTGTTTAAATTCATCAAAATCGATTGTATCAGTATGATCATAAAATCATATATCTCTAAAGAAAAAAGATATTTCAATTATGAAGAATACCAGAGAATAAAATATTCTTTCATTCATGCGTACAAATCATATTAATAACTGTATGTATATTAAATTTGTTCCGATGTCCATTTGTCAATGCTTCATGTAGTTCATCTCGAGTAATGTCTCCTGAACGATCTTTATCAACTCTAAACGATAAGAAATTTGTTGTCTAGTTTGAATTGTTTTAATGCATATCATTATACTTATCAAATAAATGTCGTAAATACTGTTCATTTGAAACCATTACTATGAATAAGCAAGAAATTTGTCAAAAAAAAATATAGAATAAAATTTGTCAATACAAAAATAATACATTTATAGTTTTATGTTTATACAATGTTCTGCTGTGATAGTACTACACTTCTATTTGCATTTTGGCTAAAGCAAATATCAACGTAAGAATAGAGACAAATTTCACAACAAACAAACGAATATGTCAGTTCTGTCAACGTCATTATCATATCTATATAGAATTATGATTTTACCTGTTTGCTCTACTTCTTCAAGGTGCAGCTCTATTCTTCATAAAAATCAACTTAAACAAAAACTTCTATAACATAAAGCTGTATTAGGTTACTTGCAGCAATTTGCTAAATCGTTGATCTACTTGCAGAAAATTTTCAATATCTTCATAGTAATACCCATGAAATAATTTTGATACTCCAACGCACATTAACATCCATTTAAAAAAAAAAAGAAGCACGCACGAGTTTATTGCTATTAAATGCGTGTAAAAGCGTTATTGTATAAACTTATATGGGCTTTGAAAAATCTAGGAATTAATCTGAACGCATTCGAACACACTTTTATGAGAAATAAATAAAAACACAGTTCAAACTCATTACTCAGGAAAAGTTAGAAGTTCTGACACGTTAGGTAAGCAGCCTAACCGGTTAAAACCGCATTAAATGTTTCATATTCGGTAGTTTTAACTAGTCAGAGCTTGTAATGCATGCTAAAACTCCTCTCAACCGTAAAGCGTTCCAGCTTCTTTGATTTTTAAAAGTTTTTCGAACATATTTACGTTCGATTCAAAATGTAATTCTAACCTATTACTATACTTTCATTTTCTTGTACTTTTCCGGTACTTTTTGTTAAGTTTAGGGTCCATGAAGTGATGATCTACTAGGTACCATTCATCAGTACCATTATGGCAGACTAGTCTCTTACAGTAATTTACTGCAAGAGAAAAACTTAGAAAAATTTCTGACAGATGTATCGCATATTTCGCATGGGATAGCATGGCATTTAAGTATCATTTGGTTATGCAAAAACAAAACGATGATTGCTAAATTGCGGTTTAAAAACGCGTTTTAACGCTTGAACATTTTCATGAATCATCGCTGAACGAATTTGAACAGATTAAAAGCTATCCTAATCGTATAAACGAGTTAAAATAACCTTTCGTCTGAAATATAAATTTGTTGTTTACGTTTAAACTCGTTCGAACTGATTAAATCTGTTACTTCAACATGTAAAACGCATAAACTGAATGAACTATTAAGTCGTTCGAACTCGTTAGCTTTTAAAATAAGTATCGCATTTTGTGCACGCACATGAACTCGTTAAATCTGAATACGTGGGAAGTTGTTTTACTTCGTAAAGCGCTATTTAACCGGATCTAACTCGTGCTTCCTCGAGAGAAACGTTGTCACGCGCTATATTTGTAAATTTAACCCAAGCAAACGTTTTTTGTGGAAAAACATTTTCTAACGTCTGCTAACGTACGTTAGAACATCAAAATTATTTCATGGATACTATAATAAGCAGCTCTCTGCCATGACGAAATGAAAAGTAATGTCAAAGGTCCTCCGGTTGTGACTATGGCCAGAGGTTTTGCTCATCTTTTACGAGAAATATTTGGACTCGAATGCAGCGATGTACACTCCGCTGTGCTATGGCTGGGCTTTGATCAATCTCTGGCAATTCAGATTTAAAAAGGCTATATTATAAGTATGCTAAAATCTGAATAAAACATATAGTCAAAGAAAACTGAAATAAACGTCATTCTGCAAATAAATGTCAGAAGAATTAGAAGACAAAAATGTGATTAGTTATCGCAAAGCAGTATTTATATCTTGTCCTGAAAAGTGTATGTAAATGCACAATCTTTGTTATTTATGTCTACAGCACCAGGGTCTCCAATAGAAATCTAAAACAAAATGTACTTGTACACTTTGCTTATGTGGGCAAAGTGTACGTTTACACTTTGTTTTTGCCACCATAATGTACAAAGTGTACTGAAACCAATTTTTTCAATCCGAAACACAGTACTGCTGTAGTCTACAGCAGTACTCAATTTATTTATTTTTATCAAAATGAACGAGATTGTCCTCAAAGTTTTCGTGAATAATATAGTATCACTTAAAAGAACGTTACCCACTTTCAATATCTGTGCTTCAGTGTAAGAAAGCCGATGTCATTTCGATGATATAGTATAGATCAGAGACATTTGCTGCTTTTTTTGTCATGTTACATACAGGAGCGTTCCTCGGGCATTAAATAATTTTTTTGCCGAACATTGTCACAATATGTATAGAAATAAGTAATCCTTGTTGAAGAGTTTAATATTGTGGAAGAGCAATTTATAGGAGAACAACAAAAAATCTTAGAAAGCAAGATGGGTGTTAAGTCCGTCCATCTCATTGAGTTATTCCATCCCTGGTTAAACAATATATGAAAAACTATCGATTTTATAAAAAAATTTCAGTTTTAAATCTTTCTCGCCACAATAGTCATTCATACTAAGATCTAACGGCTCTTGAACAAAATCTGAACACTTGTCTAATACTAAGAATATGCGGGAAAAAAACGCCTATGGGTGCCTGTCGCAATCGTCAAAGATCGCATGACGAGATTCTCTTCCGATCTGCTGTCAGCATTCTCGACCAAGAAATGGCTAATAGAGATGAAGTCTGAGCTATGCTGATGATTGACAACAAGTAACTTTCATCCTCATTCACTCACCGAAAGAACCTGAATCAGATGAATTTTAACAGAATAGTAACATGACTTAAATCTCCGTTTGCAAAGCGTTCACAAGCCTTTCATGATTGCAATGTTTTATGGATGACTTCAATCTTAATAAATCCAAAAAGACATTTTCGACTGTGTAACTGTGGGTCATTTTGATTTGCCTTTTGCAGAGTACTGTAGAAGTAGTATTCCATTAAAAGTAAATTTTCACATCTAGAAATATATGTAAAACAAAAATAGTATTTCTACCAACAGAATACAGGACAAGATGAACGTTTCCTAATTTTTTTTCATTTGTATAAAATAAATGTATACTTTATTCTTATGTAAGTCTTATTTGTCGTCTATTATGAAACACAACTGTAGCTACTATTGCTCCTAAAACCAACAATAAGATAAACATAAATAGTAGCCCACCAAATTCGCCTCGTGTTAACATTCGTGATGGTCGCAATTGTTTATCGACATAATTTGTTTGATTTATCATGTATCCTAGAGTCCATCCGATGGTACCATTATTTATTTTTTGTACGATTTGAAAATTTTTCAAATTATCATTGGTCAAATTGTATCCATATTGAAATAGTGTCCAATGATATGTGGAATATAAACATAAATATTGACGATAACTATCATTTGCCTTAATCCAATCTGTACTACAGATTTTATTAATAACCGTAGATAAAATGGTAAAATTTAGAGTATCAAACGAGTAAATACCAGGAGAAGTGGGTTGCAGTGGGATAGATGGAGCTAAAGAATCGAATGTTGTATAAAAAGCGGATATGCCAACAAGTTTTAGTGTAGGCGAGAGAGGTATTGGTTGGTATACATTATCAAATGAACATGTTGTATAATTACAAGTTTTATTTAATAGAGATGTGATAATTGTTTGACATAAATCAAAATTACCACTGCCAACAAAAGTAATAGTAGTAGAATTTATTGGAGAGTCTCTGACTGAACAAGGTGTATTAAAAAATGAAGATTGCATCAAAGTTTCATTATACTTCGGTTGTAAACATGGATCAGTAATGATCGTCGATTCTATCGGAGCATTGTAAACTAATTCTCGACGATATTTATAACGAAATTGATCTTGACCATAGCATAGATAACTATGTGAGTATACACTGTAATCTGTATCGAATAAATTCATTGTTGTTACTTCTGATGATTTATCATTTTCGTCAATAAATGACATCTGTGTACTTGCTCCTCCCATATCTGTAATACCATAGGTTTCTAACGGTTTATTTCTTAAATATAGTTCATTATAGAGAATATTGCCTGTTATCCAACTTGACAGACCTTCTTCTTTACCACTTATGATACGAACTTGATTTTCAGGTGCGACAAATGAAATTGGTAATGTTGAAAAATAGGTACGGGTTGCATTTAGTAATCGATTAGTTAAATCTGGATTTTGTATTTGGAGAAGACGCATACCAGCAGTCGCTCCTAAACATAAAAAAACCAAAAATAATTTAAATAATCTTTCGTTTTTTCATAGAATGAACACAAATTATTTCCACTGAAAAGCTCAGTTGATCGATTACTAGTAAATTATTTAATGTAAGAGTCGATTTTCACACTTTAAATAGTCGAAGAGACAAATTTATTCAATTGATCTGATAATAAATCCATCTACTGCTTACCTAAAAATATTAATGTTCGACCTTTTCTATTGTTTGGAACTGAATCTGTACACTTTTTCATTGCTGTTTGAAAATAACCACTAATATTTTTAGGATCTACGTACGATAAACCAGGTCCATCTACATCCCAAGTATTTTCCTGTTTTACTCGAGATGTTAGACCAAGACCATCCGATTTATCTGAAGGCCAACTACAATATTAAAAATACGATGAATAACTTCAGTTTGAAGCATTAATTATACCTGTATAAAAAAATTCTTGAATGAGACGATCCAGCATCAACAACAATACCATAATCTTTAAATGGAGTTAATTTTACTTGCCAAACAATAATTAGTACAATAGTTCCAATTAGACCCACAACAGCGAAGAATAATGCAGCTAAAAAAGCCAATCGATTTGTACCTAATCGAGTAAAATTCATTTTTTCTTCTGTGTAATTGTTATTGCGTTGTTCTGATGCCGTTTCTTCAACATACACTAGAAGAAAGAAAATTAATGATGGTTCTACCTTTTTATATTGAATAAAGAAAGAACAAGAAAAAAGAAAATAAATATACGTGCCTGCCTTTAATTACATCAGAATAAACTTAGCTTTTTCTATGTCAAGGTATAACACATGGTTGTATCGAGCGATAAATGCATATATCATTATTTATCAAAGCAAACAATGAGTAGTAGTGGTAGTTGTGCCGATAAAACAGTATAGCATTTATGAAAAAATACTTTTTAGTTATAAAGAACATTGAAAGCAACTTCTTTACCTTGAGCAACTTAAACAATTCTATAGGAACTTCGAAATCTGTCGTTAACAGAAAAGCCCTCCGATTCTAATCAAGAAAATGTTATTTAAAAAGTTTTAAAACAACGTAGACGTGTTTGGGGCGAGAGCAATTTTTGAGAAAATTTAATGCCCGTTTTACATATTTTAAAACGGTAATATACATAGTTCAAAACACGTATGTTACTTAAATGTTCTACTGAGTTCTATTCATTCTAAACTATACTGGTCGTGGCTGTATATTAAGACGTTCGGGACGTTGAAGAAGGGTTGAATTTTTCACTGTTCGATAGATAAGTTATTGTAGTTTTCTTCTATAACAAACACAACGCATTCTGAGTTTTTCTAGGCAATGTTTAGAAAATCGCGTTATACAGCAAAGAAACTAAAAGTACGAGGGTCTGCTTCTTCCATGAAGAAAGAACTTTAGAATGCTCAAGTGAGAGAAGACTTCTAATTCCAGTTGTTTAGATGCGGTACTGAATACCCTGTACCGATCTTTACTGGTGATGATATTTGCTTACCGAAAAATATATGATACCTAACGAAAATTCGTTTATATGAAATTCTTTTTGGTAAGGGGTAATAATTTGAATAAGAAGATTATTACGATAATCGCAGCTTTAAACATGATATTTTTATTCAATATTAACGTCAACATTTCATTGTCAAAGCATAGTATGAAAATGAATCTGAGAGACTCTTCATAGAATAAAAATGTAACAGCATATTTTCAACTGAAATATTTCAGTGATAAGGCTGTAAATATAGCTTCCAGTAAACATTCAGTAAACATTCATTTCATCCATAGTTTACAGCCTTATCATCAAAATATTTTAGTTGAAAATATGCTGATGCATTTTTATTCTATGAAGAGTCTCTCAGATTCATTTTCATACTATGCCTTGACAATGAAACGTTGACGTTAATATTGAAATAAAAATATCATGTTTAAAGCTGTTATTATCGCAATAATCAACTATGATACCGCATGATTGAATCCATCCGAAGCGGGATATATTTGATTGACCCGATACACATCAGTATCTCATAAACAATGTCAAAGAATACATTTTTACTTCGAAGGTTCTCTAAAAAGTCTCTGGAAGCACCAGCGGCATTCAATGTCCGTCTTTTCCCTGCCCCGCCTCCCCCCCCCCAT